GACATTTTGCCTTCCAGTGTAGATCTAATAAAACAATTTGCTGGTAACTGCTTATGTATTTCTTAGGAATATAGACGTCTGAGATACTGGTGGAGTCTTTTTTTACGATATAGTTTTCACTTCTGGAACTAAAATCTTTTGTTTGTTATGTGGGCAGGGAAAGCATAATGGATGCTCTTTTCAACCTCCCTAGATTTAGCAGGCAATATGTGATTGCCAGTGATTCCTGAAGTGTGTATCCAACACAACAGATAGTCCTTTCTCATCCAAAGTTCATCTCTGCTATTCCTGAAGTGTGTATCCAACACAACAGATCCAAAGTTCATCTCTGCTCCCCATCCATTTCCATTCTCTTTTCCTGAACTACTATTCCCTGTTCAAGGTTTCTTTTGTACCGGCTGCTTCCAAACGATCCATCTGACTGTTGTTTTTCCATTTCTTGTTCTTCTAATCTCTCATTTCAGGCTATCCTCCTCTTGCTAGAAATTGGTGACACTTAGGGATACCAAAGGGGAAGGATTGTTATTCTGTTGTTCGGTTAGTCATCACAATCCGTGACGTTTTCTTACCTTTATCTTGCATCTGTGATGAGATACTGTGATAAGTGACTTGGCTAATGGGATTACCGATACTCCATTCTTAATTTCCTGTTACGTTTCTGTATCGTTCTTGGCGTTGATGAAATGCAAGCCGGGCAATAACTTTTTTATAACGCTACTAAAAAATATCAATAACCATGAATTCGTGAATTCAGCAACTGTTAAGCTACTAAAACTGAAAAGAGTTATCCAGACCTAGGAATAACTGAAGAAACCATCCAATTCGTTCAGATATGAGAAGAAAGGAGAAGGGAGAGATGGCAGAAAGTCAAATAGTTCTTCCTTCCACGCCATTATCTACATGTAAAAGCCAAGTTAGTTAACACGCCCGTAAGTTTCGGCCTGCACAGGCAGTCTTTGCATGGGCTTCCACCACACAGGCTTAGCAGAGAGTACATTAAGCTGATGTTAAACAGTAAAAAGGAAGAAGGCTGGAAAACCAGAGAGAAGGCTCACTGGAGTGAGACCTGCCCAAAACACGGCGATCCCACCTGCCAGGCAGCAACATGCTTGCTGAATTAGGTCTCAGTAACTACAATATATCTGCTCAGTTCTCCAAGGTATCTCCAAGGTGGAAGGGGACCGGTAGCTGGAATGGATGTTACCCATCAGCAGATACTCTGCGGTAGGGTGTAGGGTGTTCATGCTGATGGCGGTCCGTGTAGACCTGCCCAAAACACGGCGATCCCACCTGCCAGGCAGCAACATGCTTGCTGAATTAGGTCTCAGTAACTACAATATATCTGCTCAGTTCTCCAAGGTATCTCCAAGGTGGAAGGGGACCGGTAGCTGGAATGGATGTTACCCATCAGCAGATACTCTGCGGTAGGGTGTAGGGTGTTCATGCTGATGGCGGTCCGTGTTCTGAGGAGCAAAATGGGCAGCTCTGCATGTGCCAGGCCCGTTTTATTGTTCATCTCTCTGAAGCAATTGGCAGAACCTTTCCTTGGCAGGTGAGACAGACAGACTTCAGAAAGTACGTCTGTGGAGCCTGCTGAAGCAAGTCTAAGTCAGACTTGCTGTTAGCTGGCGGTAATTATCAATGGTATTTAAAAACAATTCCTCCATCTTTGTAACTTTTTTCCTAAATATTGAAAAATTTGTTCTACTCAGTTTCAGCATAACATGATAGACCTCTTCTTCATCATTTCTAGTAATAAACCTGACCTCTGCCTAAAGCTGCTACAGTCATCGAGCGTGCTATTCTTACAGGAACATTCACTCTGAGTTAGAAAAGCATATTTTGGCATGCCTTCTTGCATAACGTAAGTTGCAGGGATCTCTCAAGTTGAGACAGAACGTTTACCTCACTGATGGCTTTGGAAAGTGACATTGCAGAGGACACGCTTGTCAAGCGCAATAACCTCTGGTACGTTCAGGGAAAAGATGCCAGGATGGGATGCTCTTTCTGGTACATTTCAAATAACTTAACTACATACGGGGCTTCTTTGAGTCCTGAAGGAACACTATGGATAGTGCAAACATTGCAAGGTTAGCAGTAACTGAAGAGCTCCAGAAAGTAAAAGAACGGTTTCCACAAAACCTTTATGGAGCCTGTTCTCCAGGATACAGGGCTATCACAAAAGTAGGAGAAAACTCTTAATTACCGGTGGTCAGTCGCTAACTATTTCTACGCAGGAAAGTGATAAATGGAAATGGAATAATGGAGTTCTGCACCACCACTAAGGAGGCAACGTTGCTGCATATTATATAGCTGGTCCTCAGGAATTCACTGGTAGCTTTACATGCACGGTGTTTCCTGACCGGAGGGATCCAATATTCCTTTGTTTTTGCTGTTCTCTGATTTAAGCATCAAACTTCATAAACAGAAAGGAATATTCTTTCACTGTGTTCCAAGCATGCCTGACCACCTCTCATGAAGTTCACGTACGTCCAGGCAATTTTAGCGAAACTCTACTTTGCTTCAGCGGCTGAACTGGCTTTTGGGCAATTCCAGCACGAAGAAGCTACAACAGCTGGATATCACCATTCTCTTTTCAACCCTGCAACAGTGTGCTGAGGCTACTTTAATGCTTAAGCAATACTAAAAAATTGGTCAGACTTTTAAATTTGCACTGTGGTGAATTCAGGTGCTTTTGTATGTTTCTGAGGTAAAATAATGACTACGGATGTGTTTGTGCCAGGTGTGATTCTGTCCAAAATTGCTGCCCCTACAACGGAAATAAAAGTGGTCGCCTTTGAAGTATTTCTAATTCTGGGCCAGGGCACAGCACCTGCTGTTGCACTCAAACAACATAATTTTAAGTTGTAAAGATCAGATGAATTTAAAAAAAAATTGGCAATTTGTTACATATTATTAGTATTTAAAATTCTCTCATATGGCTTTTGCAGTTTTTCCTTCTTTTCCAATACACGAGAACAAAGCACTCTTACCTCTTTCCTAACAAACATTTCTTGCTACGGTGTTACAGAGTTGTGCTTGAAACTACCCTCCTGGAAGATCCAAGCACAGAGGAGAATGTTGGGTGGTTTTTTTTTTTCAGGAGGCAGTACCTCACAATCATTAAGGTCTGCCAGCCTGTCATATGTAAAAACCAGAACAGCCAGCGAACAAGCACCTACTGAGAACCGTGGCGAGCTTGAGAGCCCGGGACAGAAAAAAGAGTTATGACATTATTTTCTATATTTATTTACAATTAATTTAATACCTCCATGTTGAAGCGTAGGAGCTCGACAGCTGTTTCACTTAAGACTGGCTATATTCTAAAAGGTAGTAAATGCTGCCATCTAATGGTATCCGATCGCTGAACAAAAGCTGTCGGCTCATTCCAGCTCACACCAAACAGAATGAGTAGTTTCACCTCAAAAGCACCACTGTGCACCGCAAGGCACAAAAGCAACCCGAGCTGGAGAGGAGCAGGTCTCAAGCAGACCCATCAAGTCTCTCTGCGTCCTGCTGCCCAGCGCTGCCGACACCAAGCGCCGATTTCTGAGCTACCCGAAGAGGTCTGCAGACCTCCTTTGTCAACCTTTCTCTGAAGAGAAGCTGGTTCTGGAAGTCATAAAGCCAGTTCAAACCGTACCGTAGCTGAACTCTTTAACTCTCAGCTTTCATGTGCCTTTATTTGTCCTACAGATGGCTTAGATTTGGCTATATCTGCCATATTTTAATTGTATTTAACAAGGCAAATGACAGTAAAAATTGAGGAACTACCTTATTGCTCCTGCTATTCTTGGCCTGAAAAATGCTAAATCTTTTCTGATTCCCTGTAAAAAGTAAAACATTTTCAGGTTTCTTGTGCTAATAGGTAGCTATTTTTGGAAAATTATATTACTGTGGTTCTACACATTTAATAACAGATTATGTCTTGTAATAAACCGAAACTGAAGATACCTCTTACAAAACAGACAAAAATGCGTTAAGCATCTGAACTCTTTATTGAAGAATCTAAAATAGTCTTATTTCATTAGTAGTTCTGAGGCCACCATGACACTTCATCTGACCAACCTAAACTGCAAAACACCAGTAAAAGTACTATTAATGCACATTATTCATACATGGGTTTTTTTCAGAACCAATGAAATAAGTACTTCCTCTAACTTTAATAAATGTTGTCTCGTAAGATATACCATGAACTCCTTTTCAGATTACTAAGTAATGCTTTCTATGACATTTGGATGAAGTACAATGATGAATTTTTATGTACAATAATTCTTAAGATTTTCTGGAAACAATACCTCTTGCATAACATCCTTTGATTTTGGTAACAGAATCAGAATTTTGATACACTGAATGATACAAAGAACAAATTATATACAACTTTCAAGCACAGACACCTGAGGATGATATGTTAAATCCATTTAGGTGCACGTGTAAAGACACCTCAAAAATTCTTAAGCATAAACAAATCCATCCAAAGGCACTAGGAGGAAGATGGTCCCAAACAACATAGAAATCAGTGGCTGATTATACTCAAGTGTCTTGAGTGAGCTCTTTTACAGAAAATGCAGTAATTATTTAATTTTGCTACAATAACCAATTTTTCAAACCAGGCTTTATCTCTAAAGAGATATACATTGTTCTACAGCCTTGTGTGCTTATAAATCATATTACAGTTACAACTGATCTTTTACAGATTTCTTCTGTAAACACAGAAATATGAAGTAATACAAAAAATGACAGGTGTAAAAAATGAACCCACCTACTCCAGTAGCTGAGGAAAAAAATTCCATGGTTTGATTTTCCTCTAATATTTGTGACATAGTTGTTCAAATCTTAATTGTTTTAAGGAGCATTTGCAAAATTGAACAATCACAATACTTAAAGGCTGCCATCATTATTCTAAATTTAGAGTATTATGCTCTGGGATCAAAATATTTTCTCCATCTGAAAATAACTGATATCGGTTTAATCAAAAACTGCTGCAGCCTGGGGCAACTTTATGTGTCCACTTTATCGCTAGCTGTTTCAGCAATCCCATCATAAAATAAAGGGAGAGTTATGGAAGATGTAGTCCGTGATTTATCTAGCTTCCTACCATTATCTTCATTAAGCATTGATGCAATAAGTCTTTCCTTCTCATGTGTTTCTTCTTCAAAGACAGCACTGTTATAACGTTTATGATGGTATGAGAAAGATTTATTTTTAAAAGAACGCTGCATCAAATACCTCCTGAAGGCCCTTTGAATAATAAGAGCCGATACCTCCTCTTGTTTTCTTTTAAGGGTAGTCGTAATTGGCTTGTAAGAAACTTTAGATGGATTGGCAGCCATAAATTTTTCTTCCATGTGTAATTCAAGACCATCCAAACCCCTAGATTCTCCCAAGACCCTTTTAGTGAGGGCAAGCAAGATATCCAAGCAGTGGATCTTATCTCCACTAACTATAGGGAGGTCCATGGATATGAGCTGAATTTTATTAGGCTTTGGAATGCGTAAGGGTTCTGCCAGAGCATCTGCAAAGTCTGAAAGAGCAGAAGAGCTAATAAACTGTGTTGCCTGAGGATCAAACTTTCCCCAGGTCTCATAAAACATATCAAAGTCATCGTCACAAAGAGGATCTGTGCTCTCTTCAGTGGCAACACTGAAGTTCTCTAAAATGACAGCTATGTACATATTTACAACAATGAGAAATGATATAATGATATAGCTTACAAAAAATAAAATACCAACATCCTTATTTGCGCAATTTTTTTTCTGCTCATCTGTTAAATTTAAGTTGGGAGCACATGAATCAGGTCCTTTTAACAGAGGGACCAAAAGACCATCCCAGCCAGCTGATGTTGTAATTTGGAAGAGACAGAGAATGCTGCCCTCAAAGGTTTGAAAGTTGAAAAGGTTATCAATCCCACCTTCCCAACCAAGACAGGCAAAGTTTGTCATGCCCACAATGGCATAAATGAACATAACCAGAAAAAGCAAAAGACCAATGTTGAACAGTGCAGGAAGAGACATCAGTAACGCAAAAAGAAGAGTTCGAATTCCTCTAGCTTTTCGAATTAACCTCAGGATCCGGCCAATTCGTGCCAAACGAAAAATTCTCAAAAGTGCAGGAGAGAACAAAGTTTGAAAGCCTTCAGAAAGTCCAACACCTTTGAAATGAAAAAGAAAACAAAATGTTGTCAAGCCAAATTCCCTATTTATGTCCATTTTGTTATATTCTATACTTCAGATGTTGAAAGTGACATTGATCATATTACATCACTTTCCACAAACACATTATCATCAATACTGCAATTACGTACAAAAGAGCTTAGGAAAAGAAAGACAAATTGTAATACCTTTAAATATTAAAGAGTTATCAAGATAATGTATAGTTTGGAAACTGCATTCTCCCAGATTTCTCTAATTAATTCAGGGGATGAAATTACGCATTGCTCCAGTTCTTAAAAAATCCTTTTAAATCCATTCAGCTCCTGTGCTGGAAGCTATGGGGCTTGTCTCCTAGCTGCTGTCTGATTGCTGCTTCTTCTCCAGGCCTAAGCCACATGCTAAACGTGAGACTTTCATTAATGGTTGGTACGTGAATGAGATCAGAGAAGAGCAAGAAGAAAATAAAGGAAAACCGTCTTTCAGTATTTGTCCTCCCTCACACCTCATTCTATGATCCTACTACCAGAGTAATGAGTACCTTCAGCAATACAGTAGTAATGTAAATGATTACAAACGGAAGACTTCAGAAGTTAGCATTTTTCTGGGTTGCATGGGATAGTAAAGGGCTAACTGTGCTTAGGGATGAAGCAGAGAACTCAGATCAGTTTTGCTTTCCCATCCTTTATTCTATGATATAACCTGAGCCTGAGTAGGAAGCACAGACCAAATAAACTGTACAAGAAACGAAAACTATATATGACCCTTTGTAGAGAAAATGATAAGCACCTAGTCTTCTTTGAAAAGCAAAACAAACCGAAGCCAATTTTAATAAGACTTTTCACAGTCACAAATAGTGGCCCAGGTTTAGAATGGTGCTGAGCAGTTAAATTTTCCTGGGCTTTCTAAATCAGCCCTCAGGATCCACCTTCTTAAAAGAAAGTCCTGGAAAATAAATCTTTCCCATTTTTCATACAAATGAATTTTTAACCTGAATTTACTTTTACTGTGAAAACAACAATTAATGTGATTTACATGTAAATCGAAAGCATAAAAACATTAAGGCAACAGTTTAAGTACAATAACTTAGAAAAGATGTTACATTAACATCCAAAAGATACTACATTAAATTCCTATTCTGTTAATTACTCAAAGAAACTCATACTTTAAAAAAAAATTTGAAAATTTGAAAAATATCCATTTACCTTTTAGTACTCAGCAAAAATATAAGGCAAAACAAAAATATATCCTTTTAGAAGGCATCACTTAGCACATGGTTTGAAAAAGTACAATGGATCTGGAATTTGTTTATCAGAGAGGTGTAAGTGGTTACTTCATACTGAAATTTGGCTTAGTATTGGTAAGACACATTACCTGATCTAATAACAATTGATACTTACTAACTAGTGAAAGGACCACAACAGCGAAATCAAATATATTCCAGCCACTGGTGAAGAAGTAATGTCTTAAGGCTAGTATTTTTATGACACATTCCCCAGTAAATACAGCCACAAAAAAGTAGTTGATTTTATTAAGAACATCCTTGATGCCGTTCTGGCTATTTTCTGCCATCATAATGACCATATTTAGACAGATGAAAGTCACAACGGTAATGTCAAATGCTTTATGCGATACTATATCAAAGAGTAATCCTTGGAACACATTCTGTGGAGAGAATGAGAAGAACTGCTTAATGCTACTTCTAAGACCCAGGTTACATTCAAATATTAATCAGTAATTTGTGCTTAGAAAGAGAATTTAAGAGAATATAAATTTAACAATAAGCTACTAGAAGCATTTTTAGGTGATTTCTTTACACCTTCAAAGAAAACACTCAGTACTTGGCTAAGTATTTTCAGGTGTCATGCAACCACATTTCCTTAGAAAAAAATTATACAGCAGGAAAATATTCAGAGTACCTTGTGATTGCTCTTTTAGTAGAAATATTTATTGAAGCAGACATTTTAGGATAAGCAATTCTAATTAAAATGTCAAAAGCAAGAAAATCTCTGAATAGTTACTATGAGAAGCCAGGCATTGAATTAAATTAAAGAAACTATAAGAAAAAGCATAAGATGTCATAAGCAAGAAAATCTCTGAATAGTTACTATGTGAAGCCAGGCATTGAATTAAATTAAAGAAACTATAAGAAATAAAGCATAAGATTATTTAAAAGTAAATAACAGCCATGGGGCACGTACTACTCACTATTCATTCTCACCTGCAATAATCCAATCTAGTTGCAGAAGGAGTATCATGCAACTTAAGTAACCAAGATCATGTTATGAGTATCAAATACTTAATATGAACCTTTAGAAATAGGTTGTGCAGTTGAATAGGTGACAAATAGGCTGTAAATTTCCTTAATTAATACCCACAAAGAAAGACTGCAAAAGATGGAATTAAGAAAAAGAGAGTAAAATGTAAATACTATATTGAATAAGGAAGATGATGGGCTCTAACGTGAAGTTTATTTCCAGATGCCCGGCTACTGAGTTTAAATATGGTCACGCTCTTTATATCTTCTATCATATTCTACTTAAGATGGTCTCACCAGTGGTCTTGGGATGGGTTTTTGAGGTTTCTTCGATCCAAGTTTTTTTAGGGCATTATAGTACTTTTTCTGTTCCTCAGTCAAAAATAGATCTTTTTCACCTAAGTAAAGGGAAAGAATACTGTTGTTCAGCTGAAGTTTAATCAGTCAACTAAACACCAGCAAGTTTATGTAAAAAAAAGTAAGTTACAGCTGTCGCGAGTGGGATCTAAGAGAGCACAGAGACAAAACGTGTCTTCACCATTTCTTCTTTTCCCCTTGTTCTTTGAAAAGATGTACTGCAAAAAGCTCATCAGGGTTTGACCATGAAAGTCTAGTCTAGGCAGTGTTCCCGAGCCAGTTTCCTCAACTGTGAGAGCCCTTCTGAACTTTTACACATCTATTTCACATTTTAAAAATGACATAAGTCTCATCAACAAGTAAAATACTTTCCACTTATATTTTTGGGAAAGGTAGGAACGGAAGTATATTGCTGGGCTACCAAGTAAATGGAGGATTATGAATAAGCACTTTGGGACCAAGTTCTACGGGGGGTTCTTGATAACGAATTTCTGGTGCTGATCTTACTACCATCTACGCCCCTTGTATTACTTAGCAGTCACTTTGAACTGAGTATTCAGGAGAAGCCACTCGTCATAAAAGCATTGAATGATTAGCATTTTGTAAAACAAACATAACAAATGTTCAGTAGGGCATCTGCACCTGGAATCACTCTGGCAAGACCTCTGAAAATTCAGTTCAACTTCATTATATGGAATCTCAATGAAAATCCCCAAGAAGCAGCAAAGAAGTGAAAAAAATGCCCACTTACAGCATGTACTGAGAAAAGAAAAAAAGTGTTACATCCAGATCAACTTCTAGTAAGCGTTCAGGCTCATAAGCTACTTAACCAGTGTTGTTTCTGTCTGTGGGGACTGTTATAATTGGGACTTTGTAGTAAAAGGAAATTATTATAGTGAAGTTGGACTGTTGTTCCTCAACCCCTACATATCCCTTCTCTGCTCAAATGCAGAGAGCAGAATTTCTTGTGGGCCTTATTGCTATCTACCTTTACCAAGGGCAGTAATTCTTTGACACTTGGCATATAAGTCAGCTTATGGAAATAATAAATGGCTCCTGTAGAGATTCTGTCTTCCAAATGTGAACCTTGAAATTGTAAACCTCCCGTTGGGGTCTGCTTTTGTGGTATTTTTCTAATGAACAAGGTGCTTATTTGTTTTAAGACTTCCAAGTGGATTAATTGACTCAATTTCCCTTGATATTCTGGATACTTTAAGGCTCTAAATGAATCAGGGAGGGAACTCAATTGACAAATAAGCTTGGCACAAAGAAGCTGAAGTATACCCGGAAAGGCTGACTATTGCTTTTCTTTGGTTGTTGCGTTTTCCATTCTAAGATTTTGCCTTCCACTTCTTAATGAATAGAAAGAGCAGGGAATCTAACAACTATGAGGAGAAAAGTGGAAGCAGTCAGTGCTTTGTGGGCTTTAAGAAGCCTTTAAAGTTCTAGACGGCCTCTTCCTGGGGCCATGGCTTGGATCTCAATGCAGAAATTTTTTTTAAAAACCCAGTAAATTAATCTGTAGGGTTACTTTACTCCTCCTGGGGCCATGGCTTGGATCTCAATGCAGAAATTTTTTAAAAACCCAGTAAATTAATCTGTTACTTTATTGATGACAGGATTTTGTAAATGTAGCTAGTTTTAGAAGTTCTGATTAACAAGATCTTTTCAAGTTTCTTTACCAGGAAAGCAGTGGTTACTTCTCCCATGAGCAGTAGTGTTTCTTGATTATCCTTATCACATTTGTTAGGTGCTTACTCTCAGCAAAAAGGGTTATTCTGCTCTCCAAAGTAAATCTTCAAAGCAGAAGATATGAATTCCACTCTCCTGTAGCAAAGTCTATATAACATTTTTGGCTTCTCTTTTCTAGAACTACCCACTCCTTCCTCCTCGTCCTGCTTAGAACAAATTAAGGACTTGGCATGAAAATAGAATTTACAGGTAAATTACTAATTACAGGTAAATTACTAATTATGATTCTAAAAGCTTTGAGGAGAAGGGGACTCCTATTTTCAAAACTTGGTATCTAAACATGATTTTAAATTTCCCCAGTCAAATAGTAATCTGAAAATGTCAGACCTCTAGATGTCAAACTAGCATTCACTTAATCAAATTGGGATTACAAGAGACCCCGGATTAGCTCATGCAGTACTTATCTTTTTCCTTTGTTGGTTAAAATTGCTGATAACCACTCCAATGAAAAGGTTCAGCATGAAGAAAGATCCAAAAATAATGAAAATCACAAAATACGTATACATAGCTAAGAATGCTTCAAACTTTGGCTGTTCATCTATCTGTTAAAAAAAATCAAACCAGAAAAATAATATTGGTAAAAACCAGATAATCACAGCCTTATCGTTTCCAATTTATAATAAAAAATCTTTTTATTGTCAGGAGGAATAAATTATTTCTACACATTTAAACCTTTATTTAGATGTACAAGTCGAACAACTGCCTTGTTCTGTCTTGTTACTGTTTGTAAAGATAATTACAAACAAAGATACACAGCCAAATCCAGCTCTAGCAAATTCTTAAGTAATAGATAAACAGTTCCAATCAGAAGTGATACTGTGAATGCCTTGATTAGAAAAACAGCTCAGACTAAACATAATGGTGAACCGCCATCCCCTTGAATGCTATCCCAGACAAGAAGCAGTTTTAAAAAGCCAGCTCACTATGATCAGCCCTACAAGGAATTATCTTTTTAATTAGCAGCTATTTCACTACATTCAAGAGTACAGTGCTTGAATGAATAAGGAAAATGAAAATTAAATTAAACATAGAAAAGTTAAAACACATTGTATTAGTGAGAGAGTGAGAAACAACACATGGAAATGGGGAAGAAATAGTAAGGATGTCAAATATGGGGAAGAAAACCTCCAACTAAAAGGATGTCAAATATGGGGAAGAAAACCTCCAGAAATAACTGCTAAACATGCATGTCGTTTAAATGCTACTGTACACATTTAAAAAAGAAAGAAATTTGCTTCAGAGGCACAGTCCCTCCAAGACCTTCTGATCTCTGTTCCCAAAACAGACTTGTCCAAAACTTGCAACATTTTGCCCTCTGCATTCTCGATACAGTAGGTTTTTGTGTGGTGTCACTCTATTTTGACCAGTTTTCTTTGTCTAAGTTCCAGATATTTGGTACTCCAAGGATTATTGTTTCACGGCATAGTTTGAAGCATTCATCCGCTTGTATTTCTGACTTGATATTGCAAACAAAGCTGAAAAATTAATTGTATGGATAGAAAAGGAAAGAAGGAAAGGGAAAAGAACTGATATTTCATTTTAGTGACGTACCTCACGTGAATCCACTGCTGCATACATAATATCCATCCAACCTTTAAAAGTTGCCTGAAAAAACCACATTATTAAGGTTATTATCACTAAAGTAAAAATAAATTAAAATTTATATTAGCTCTACCTAATGTGTTAAGAGTTGTGGAAAAGTGAGCAGTGTGCTATAAAAAAGGTGCATCACTTCCAAAGAACTGCTTGGAAGTATGATTCACTGGAGTTCAGTAAAGAGAAAAAAGAAATATTATTTCCTGAAAAGAAAAAAAATTGCCATGAATCCTGTGAAATGTGTTTTAATGTTAACTCTTGTTAAATTAAATTTTTTGTAAATTTTCTTCTTTTTGAAAAAGCAGTAAAAGTTTCAGCTTAACTAGCAAATATATCCTAAAAGGATAAAAACAATTCCTAAGAAAACAGCAGATGATTCCTTCCTGCAATTTTTAGCAACTCTGCTGAATCATAGAACACTTTGGAGGATACAGGGCAAAGAACTTCATCTATAAAAGATACAGGGATAACAGCCACTTCTACAGGCAGTTGTAGAGAGCGATGAGGTCTCCCCTCAGATGATTCCTTCCTGCAATTTTTAGGGACTCTGCTGAATCATAGAACACTTTGGAGGATACAGGGCAAAGAACTTCATCTATAAAAGATACAGGGATAACAGCCACTTCTAAAAATGCCTTTCTCTCCTTTGTTCTGGTATTAGGGAGATCAATAAATTAGCATCCCAATACTTTATAACTTATATAATTTAAAAAAAATATAGAAATATAAATAAACTGCATCGCACTTTTTCTTTCTCATCCATTCTGAACTAACTTTTACTAAAGAAAATGAGAATAACTTTAAATCCGGTAACATGCAGACTATTTCAGGCTTAGTATGTTGAAAAGCCACGAAGCACAGTGCTTGATTTTAACACAAGGTTGCATATGCTAAAGTATTCTTTAGTAGGAACTGAGCATCTTAGAGATAAGAAAAATATTTATGGAAGCTAAAAAAAATCCCCCATTTCAGTGAGATAAACAGAAGCGTAGTGGTGTCCCATGGTTGGGCTGCTCAACGCATTTCCGTGAAGAAAACAAAACTGAGCATGTTTTCATAGAACTTACCACTTGGAGAAGAGCCAAGTATCCCATCCCAACATTATCAAAGTTTACATCATTATTTGTCCATGTTCCGTTATAGAAAGTACAATTATATTTGTTATCAATTAGACTGATATTTCCTTTCTTGAGTGTGCATTTCCAAAATTTTTTTCCAAGGAATTTTACTCCTACAAAGTCAAATAGGAGCCAGAAGACAATACAGACGAGCAAAACGTTCAAGATTGAGGGGATAGCTCCCAAGAGTGCATTCACAACAACCTTGAATAAATAAAATGAATGAAAAGAATGCATTATTCACATTCAATAGAACACCTTCCCAGAAAACCACTTATTTTTTATTCTTCTGTATCTATTGCAGATTGTCACCCATACAAAAACTCGTAGGTGACAAATTTAAAGCAGGCCTTCAGCCCAACTTCAAGCTTGTCTTAACATGTAATTCTGTGGTATCTATCTTGCCTTTTTGAGGAAGGAAGTAAAACAGATGGCAACCAGAATTATCCTTGGGTAAAAGAAATACATAAAATAAGATTATGAGTCTGTAGTAGCTATGGGATCAAAAAATCAGGTATAGGGGAATGGGTTGTATGATCTGCATTTACTACAATATCATAAATAACCCTCTCTTTTATCTTGGAGGGGTTTTGTAAGAACAACAGCTTGCTCTCCATAACAAAATGAACCTCACCTAATTACCACTGGCAACTGACTGCACACAGTACGTAAAGTAGAGAAGTTTGGCTTCCAGAAGACTGGGTTGTTTTGGTCAGCACTCTTCCTTCATTTAGGCTTGCTTGAGGACAAGGTGAATGCAAACCCATGATGAGCAGTAAGCCTCTTCCAGATATGGTACTAGCGAAAATGGGATTCCAGCTTTTGGTGTCTGTGCTGGTGACGTCAAGGGACCTGACACAAGCAGTGGTAAGAACTTGTATTTGCGAATCCAGCACATTGATGCTGACAGGCAGGACCACGCTTGTTGCCAGTGGGAATTTGAGGACTATTAATCTATTTCTTTTCACCATTTTTCACCACTCTGTCGTGGGGCATAGTGAAAATCTCTCTGGAAATGTTTCATTGCTATCATTATGAGAAAATTCTGAGCCTTTTATCCTGGCCTTGGATAACATCCGTACACTAGAAACACACAGAATGAAGCACGTTGGAAGGGACCTCTTGAAGATCAGCTGTTCCAACATAGACCAAGTTGCTTGGCGTCTTGTCTAGTCAAGTACTGAATTTTTCCAAGGGTGGCAATTCAACAACCTTTCTAGACAATCTATTGCAATGCTATACACCCACACTGTCATCTTTTTTCCAAGGTAGCTAATTGGAATATCCCTCACAGCCAACTCGTTCTCTCTCATTTTCTCACTGTGGGCCTACCAGAAAATATTAGTTCCATTTCTCACATAACCTCCCATTAAGTAGTTAAAGACAACAATTAGATCTCTTATCTAATTAGATCCTAATCAGACCCTCCCTTTAACCTTCTCTTCTCCAGTCAGAACAAGCTCTATTCTCTCAGCCTCTCCTCTCCAGTCCCCTGACCATCTTGGTGGCACTTTGCTGGACACTCTCCAGTATGTTAATATCTTTCTGATACTGGGAAGCCCCAAACTAGACACAATACTCCTGATTCAGTCTCACAGGTACCAAAAACAGAAGAGTGAATTGCCTCAATGTGCTGGCCAGACTCGTGCTAAAACAGCCCAATATGTGGCAGATCATCTTTGTGCTCTGCTGACTCATGTTTAACATGATGCCCACCCCAGGTCCTTTTCTGCAAAGCTGCTCATTTCTCAGTGTGCCACAGTTACGTGTGGTTATTCTGGCTCAGGTGCAAGACTTTGCATTTGCTTTTGCTGAACTTCCTGAGGTTTCTGCAGCCCTTATCTCCAGTCTGTCAAGCTCTCATTGCAGAGCAGCCTTGCCCCCAGTGTATTAACTGCTCACCCCCAATTTGGTATCACCTGTGAACTTGCTGAGGACAATTTCTACCACATTCTTCAGGTTGTTAATTAAGTCATTAAGCAGTATTGGTCCCAGGACTGACCTCTGAGCCACTAGTACCAGCTGCCAGTTGAACTTCATCCTGATGATCTCTGCACATTGAACCTGGCAGTTCAACCAATTTTCTGCCTAGCTTACAGATCACCTATCCAGACCAGATATGACCAATATCTGAGACCACGGATGGTTCTTCCCTCCCTCAGCCATCTCATCATAGAAGACAATCAGGTTTGAGAGGCAAAAATTGCCCTTCCTAAATTCACGCTGGCTGTTTCTAACTTCTTGTCCTCCACAGCTTCCAGGAGGATTTGCTCCACATCCATCCCAGGGCCTGAAGTTAGTGTCTCATCACATTCCGTGATCTAACACAGGTCAGACGATTTGCATTATACAAGTTTTTACTTCTCCCCATTGGCTTTAAAGATTCCAGATAGTTCACTCAGCGCAGCTTTTAAAATTGAGTTAGAAGAATCCCCTCTCCTATTAAGAAAATCCCACCCTATTTAAGTTTGAAAGGATTGTTATCTTTCAGATCCACCCTGGAGAATCTGAAATGTGGCATGTGAGCCTGTCTAGATAACTGTCAAGATGAGCTGATATAAACACAGCAGTCTAAAGAAGGGGAATTATGAAAAGGAGTTATAAAAAGTGGATAGTTTCCAGTGAAGCAATGAATTAATGAATCAATTTTTTCAGGTGCAAATTTCTTGCCTCAGGCAATGAGAAAAAATTAAGAAAGGACTGTGGTCTCTACATTTCTTATGCTATGAAGATTGAAAAACTACAATTTTCACAGTACAGCTTTCTTCCTCACATTACAGTGTGTTTTCTGTAATAACTATATATAGAGCTTCTTTTCTATTAACAAGTAATTAAAAATGGTTCCTATTTTTTCAAGCATATTCATTTTTTTCAGAAGAATTTGCCAAATACACTGGATGAAATTTTTCCATGTCTAAGATAAACCAAAGAATGAGTTTCAGAAAAGTGCAAGTCTAAAAAAATTCCTGTTTAGTCTGTTCTGCAAATTGCGCTGAAACTGGAAACATGGAAAAATATTCCAGTGTTTAAATTACTATACGTAATAATTCCTTGTGGTAGCACATTATAATTTAATCTCCTTATTTAATTTGTATTTATACATTTTTGTGAAAGTGTTGGGTATTGTTTCAAAATAACAACCATAAGATGTAAGTAGGCAATCTGAACCATCTTAATGCCATCAAGTCCCAAAATAGAGATTCAAGCTGTAATTTTCACAAAAACTTCAAATGCAGCTATTATGAAATATGCACACGCACCCCAGTATCCTTACCTTTATCCCTTCAAATCTTGACAAAGCTCGTAGAGGCCTCAATGCTCTAAGAGTCCTGAGAGATTTCAGGGCACTCCCAGAGGAACAAGGTGATGTGTCTTTGGAAACAGCATTTAGTCCCCAGGAAACAAACGACAGCTGTGTTCATTGAATTGAAGCTGAGGTTATTAAATGGTATACAAACATTTATTTTATTTGTGTCAGTAGACAATCATAGGCTGAATGTTACAGTATCTTTGACCAGTAAGTCAAATGAAGAAAATACACATTCAAAGTTATCGTAATATAATTTTACTTCATTCTTTCCTAATATTTTTAAAATAATGCAATTCTTTCATTCTAATTTGAAACACATTTTTTTTCCCTTTTTTTTTTTCCCCCCAAAGTACTTGCTACCAGCATGGTCCCACCCTTTCCAGTTACTTGTTCCCTGCAGCCAAAGGATACAAATAGCCTGTTCCAGGAGTCCTTTTACAGGCACACAAACCCGGGAGGAAACTTGTGCACGTAGCTGGGTGTGTATAAACAGTCACAGCACCCTGGCCACCCAGTTCCCCACAGGCCTGATTTAAAATAATCTCTTGGCGAACGTCTGGATACGTGCCAGATGTCCAGAGCACGGGATGTGTGTGTGATACTTCTAACTGCTGCATTCTTTTTTCTGCAAAATGTCAGAGTAATGGAAAAGGGGAGTTGCAAAGGGGTGTGTTTATTTTGCTTTAAAGGTGTTTGTGCTAAGGATGATGGATCAGCAGTCTCCTTGTTCCTCAAATGGAGCTGTGTCAAGCGTGAATTCAATAGATTCAAAACTAGTAAGCAGGGACTTGAAAAAGGGGTGATCCGTGAGCGTGACACCCAGAGTGATTTGTTGCAGCATCTTGCAGAATTCCAGACTAATTGTACGCAACGTTCTCATTTTGCATCTAAACCGGTGTGGTTTCTAAGGCTTCACGTTTACCTGCTAGACATAAGCAGCAATTCCCCCCCCCCCCCCCATGCACACATTTC